ACCGACCGACCGACCGACCAACCAACCAACCAACCAACCAACCAACCAACCAACCAACAAACTAGCGACCATCCATTCAACTAACAAAAACCATAAAGATAGAAACAACAAATAAACAAACGATGCAACAAACAGATCTAGATAATCAAAGTAAATGGATTAAGAAGGGTTCAGTCTTCTGAAATATATCAGCAAATCTTCGACGCTTCAAGCGAAGGCCCTTCATCTGGAATTTAGTAGCATGCGGATTGGAAAAAATACACGTGCTTTTATATGCTAGTGGATATAAAAGCGACCACGTGACAAAAACACTAATTTGATGTATTTGATCAAACAAACTGTAACCAAAAATGTAAATTACATTACAAAAAATATTACTGAGGAAGAGGAATTAAAAAAACATATGGAATATTATGAAACAAGTAAGGAATAAGTTGAGAATTAAAGTTAGGAAAGGAAAGATATAACTAAACATAATAAAACGTACATTGAAACCATGGGGATAGACAGTACCTAGACTTGCCACAAGTCGACCTCGAATGAAACGCGGGCGACGAAGTCGCCTGCGCGAGGTCGACTTGTCATACTTGCAGGGTTTTCAATTGCATTTCGCGCCAAAAATGTGAATAAGTTATTGGCCATGGTATCAATTAACAGGGTGCTGAGTTGCAAAGGCCATTAAGTAATTAAAGTAATCGGAGCTAGATTATCTAATCGCATGTGCGGCATATTTGTCACTTCGCTTTGCGAAGCAGTCGTCCCCAATATAGGAAGAAGGAATTCCACGACTGACCAAATTGCCAACTTGGTCTTTCATAAGCGAGACCAACGGAACGACAAGGAGATTAAGCAGCAAGTTGTTATCAGTTCCGACAAGTACTCGAAAGCATGCGGAGGCAGCGGAGCTAACTCACAGGTTAAGCTTTTCCCATATCCTGTCTGCGCCGAAACGAACACATCTCTGCCAGATAGATAGGCTTCAATGGCATGCCGTTGATGCTCTTTCAACTCTAAATAGCCAGAAAACTGCTATGCCTTTTCAATCGCCTTTGACACAAAATTCTCCACATAGAAAGTGCCTAATTGTATTAAAATTGAAACCACAGACACAGTGTTGAAAGGCAGAACACGAAATACTGCGCAATTTCCTTGTTTCAGGAAGTCTATTAATAAACACATGTCACTTTCACGCTTCTCTGATTGGTTGAAGCCTATAAATTTACTATAATAATAGCTTTATTCATCCATCTTAAGATAAAAAAGTACAATGGACTTACAATTACTTGTTTAAGAAAGTATTATGCTGTGGGTATGTCTTTATATTACAAATTGTTGTAAGATAATTTAGAAAACTAACTAAGAAGTTAAAACTAATAAGTTCTTTAATCTAATAAGTTCTTCTAATAAGTTAAAACTATTTATACATATTTACAAGCTCTTCCTGAAAAAGAATGTTTATGCCTTTCAGTTCCTGAGAAGAATGATATATTGCGATTCCGGTCAATGTTCCTTAAATTGTACTGATTGTTAATTAATTTTGGCAAAACACTGCGACAGGGATGGTGTGGATCGTTCATAAACCTATCAACTTCTCGACTAGTTGCCTCTTCCCTTCTTTCGTTCAACGGTGGTAGGTAATCTTTTTCCAGGCCAAGGATTCTTTTAAAAGCTCCTGGATTGAACCCGCTCTATTTCATCTCGCAGGTAATTAGGGAGTCCCGCCCAGACAGGTGATGCATACTCGAGAATTGGTCTTATTTTGGATTGATAGGTAATAATACCGACTTCAGCTGGTAACTGCGATTTCCTGCATTCTCTGAGATGGTAAAGGCGTTTATTTGCTTTACGTGTAATCTCTTCAACATGTGCGTTCCATTTTAGATTATTTTGGAACGACACGCCAAGTAATTTAAAAGCGTTGACCCTTTCTATTAACTCATTTCCAATACGAAGACGTGGTGGTTCAGGTATAGCGTCCGTGAAAGAGATCCACATGTCCTTAGTTTTTTTAGCATTAATTGCCATTTTATTTAACACCGCCCAGTTATTTACTTCATTGATAGAGTGTTGTAAATTACTATTAGAATCTACGCTCACTATTTGGTGTTGTGTGCAGTCATCTGCATACTTATTCGTACTGACTTTTAGTTGTTCTGGTAAGGCGTCCTCCAAATCATCAATGTAGATATTAAAAAGAATGGGAGATATTACAGAGCGTTGCGGGACTCCGGCCGGGCATGTTGCAATGGATGATAAGGTACCATTGAGATTTACTTGTTGAACTCTTCCGGAAAGGAAACTTTTAATCCATAACCAGAAGGGTTTATTTATGTTCATAGCTGCTAATTTGTTCAAAAGAATATTGTCATTCACAAGGTCGAAGGCCTTACGAAAGTCAATGAAGGCCGCATGAACCCCCATTTTGCCTGTTTTTGAACAATCAGTGGCATTAAACCAGGTTTGGGTAGTTGATATTAACGCAGAGACTGTGCTTCGATGTTGAGTAAACGCGTGCTGGTTATTCTTAATTTTCAGATATTAAATATTTAACTGGAGCTGGATCTTTTCCAGGATCTTGGCAAGATGGGGTAAGACTGATATCTGGCGGAAATCATTGTTGATGTCTCTCGGTGGTTGCACTTTAGGAACAGGGGAAATTAGGGTATGTCTGTAGAGTGATGGATAACAACATTGACTTATACTACAGCACACAATGTCATAAACCACAGGAGCTAGGTCTTCGTGGTATTGTTTGAGCATCCATGCAGGAACCTTATCAATGCTAGTTGCTTTTCTTGGATTAAGATGTTTTAAGACCGCTTTAACTTGGCCAATAGAAGGAAGGGGTGGTTTGTTATTCTTATGTGGGTGGTCCACTTCAGGTATTTCAAAGGCGACATTCGTGTAACGATCCGACCATGGTTTAGTGAAGGCTTTCTGAAGTTTTTCAGCTAAGTCGGATCAGTCTAGGTTTTCGGACCTGACAGGCCTGTGTGGAAATTGGGTGTGGGTTGTGTTTTCGGCATTTACTAAAGAGTAGATACAGTTATACCACTTCGATTGATTCGAGGTACGAAATTCTGAGGCCTTGGACCGATAGTAGGTGGCTTTAGCTTTAGCTATAAGATTTGCCACTTTCTCGCATAGTTGTTTGTATCTTGGCTGATCACCACGAGAAAAGGCCTTCTGAGGAGCTTTGATTTGCATTTTAATATTACCAGTGATCCACGGTTTATCAGAGTGATGTGCTCTGATGGTTTTTTCTGGTAAGAACTCGTCAAGCATCTTGATTATAATGGAGTTATAAGCTGATACTTTCTCATCCACATCCAGTGCTGAATATACAGTAGTCCAATCTTCAGAAGCCATATTCAGGGAGAGGTA